AATGTATATTACTTTTAAATGACAATTGAACAGTAATGGATTCTTCTAAGTGTGTCAATAATTAAATGTCAAAATCAAACATAAAAAATCTTATATGATGCTCACGCATACACACTTTCTAATCAATTTAATCAATCAATAATATTTCTTATTTATATAACCACTGGATGGGTTAATTATTTGATATTGGTTATAAAAAAAAAATTTTTTGTGTTATTTTTTGTTTTTCTTAAATTGTCTTCTCTCCTGTTGACTCTGTTGTTCAATCATATTTAATCAGAAAAAACGATTTGTTACATTGGAATTATGTATGATGTCATTTTTTTATTTACTTAAACTCATTAGGGGGTCTTTAGACAAAATAACACTTTCAACGATGTACACATCATCATCATCATCATCATCTTCTGTTTTATGTCTATCATTCATTCATTGTACTTTGCTTAGTTATCAGACTTATAATTAATAACAGTATACACAAATCCGTTCATTTTCATTTCTTTATGTTAATGTTCCTGTCATTTTGATTGTCCGCAACTAAAAGCTTAATGTCATTAAAGAACAACGAAAGAGTCTCTGTACATTTGAGAATTATATAATGATAAGTAACTCTCTTTTAAAACTGTGAATAGTTAACAAAACGATTATATGACGAAAAAAAAAGAAGATGATATATTAAATAATTGTCTTCGATTACTTTTTTCAGATATATTAACAAGTAGATTGTGTCATTATGTCTATTTATTTATAAAAATAATGAATTAAAATCTTAATATTATTATTAATAGAGAATATTTGAATAGTTTTAAAAAAATGTTCAATTTAAGAAAAAAAATCTTATTGGAAATTTCCTTTGATTTTTCTTTTTTCATTCTCTAATATCATCGAAAAATACTTGACGTATTTGACTTTACAGCATCATTATGTGAACTATTAGAAAAAACAAATTGTTCATTGATTTTATTTCTTTTATGTTCACATCTATTCAAGAGAATTAATTTAATTACATAAACAAACTAATCTTTTCATATATCTTTTTTTTCTCGTTGCATTATTCGGTTTTTTTTTCTCACATTCTTCTGTTATAGTAAACAATTAATAATCTTATTGTTGCCAAAATAAAATAAGAAAAAAAAAGAATGAGTATGTATGTATGTGTACTTCCGATTTTCACACTTCTTTTACCGGAACAATTCATTAAATATACTCATCTAAATCGGCAACATTCACACATATTGTTTTATTAATTTTGTTTCGATTTTTTTTGTTAGAGTGAGATTTTGATCAGGAAATGGATTTAGAGTGAAAGACACACAATTCGATTATCGTGTATATACACGAATAATGTATAGACAATGTATAGTAGATATTTATTGGGAACAAATCATCATTATATGATTTAAATTCTCATACTTTTGCTTTTTTTCTTCTACTTAGTTGATTTCAATAACTAACAACTACACTCAATCTCAAATAGATAAATATTGTATTGCAATATTACATGAAATATTTCTCTCTTTCAAGAGCATAAATGAGATTCTCTATCTGATTTCATTTACTTTATGCTTTAAAGTTTAACTTCATATCAAACTTTTCATGTTACTTTTAGCAGGTCATTCTGTTTCTACTAAATATCGCAAGATATTTGATGAAAAAAAAATCGAAATCTCGACACGAGTTGATAGGACATGAGTAAATCGCTTTGTTCTCAGATGTTATTGGACGTTATAAAATCGATAAATTTCATCTTTTTTCTGCAATGGATTCCATGAAAGGTACGCATATTAAAAATTTTATAGAGCAAACATTTTTCTACACAAGATGAGCTATGACACAAGCCTTCATGTTTTCTATTTCTGCAAAGTAATCGCCGTTTGACGAAGAGCCCTAAAGCGGTTATAAGCGATCAGGAGACTTTTAAGAAATCTTTGTTTTATAAGCACTGACTCCAAGTTGAAGAATACTCTCATAGCTCATTTTGTAAACAAAATGTTTGTTCTACAAAATACAGTTGCTAGAAAAATTTTAGAGAGTCCATTTTCGTTGAGAAAAACGTTTTGAAAACCGACGGACGCATGTTTAGGTGTTATCAGCTAAAAATTTCAGTTGAACAAAGTTCAACTATTTTTGTACGTGCTTAAATTTATGGTTGTTTTTCAAAAAAAATATGGAACTCTTGATTAATAAATAACAGTTGATGATGACAAATGTATATTACTTTTAAATGACAATTGAACAGTAATGGATTCTTCTAAGTGTGTCAATAATTCTTGATCAAAGAAATGGTAAAATATTCTATTTTTAATTTCTATGAATAATACCACGCGCTTCTATTTTGTTTTCGACTTTGCTATCAGTAGAACAAGAGAGATAAATTCGTTTTTAATTGTACATATTTCTCGAAAAGTCAAGAAATTCTGGTTTGTCATGTTAAAAACGCATTAATAACTGTTGATGATATAGAGACTATAGATGTATACGATTTGTTTGAACTAGTCATGCACATAACTTCTCAATTAATCGACAGTATACACATAGAAACTAACCAAAAAGAGTTAATTGACGATTATCTATTGAAAACTGATTATAATAGTCAACAAACGTCTTAGTTGACTTTTACATATTGTATTTAAGATTTAATCATGTTGTGTAGACTAAAAAAAAAATGAGAGTGTCTTATTATTTCATAGTCATTTTCACATACTACTTGAATATTTCAATTATTATATATTTTATAAGTGATATGTTTACTTGTATATTAGACATCCTTGACAGTTAATTTTCATTGTATGAAATGAAACAAATAAACATACAGTTTCAAATTTGTCATATAATATTCTATTTTATATGTGAACAAAAGAAATAATGATTATATTTTTCTTCATAGAGTGTAATTTGAGTTGATTATATATGAACACAATGTGTAAATGGACTTTTTATATGAAATATTTTTTATTAGAAAGAGATAAATCTTATTTTTTTACTTTACAAGACTTTTAGTTCTCGTTATTATCAGCTTAGCATTGAACGAAACTATACAAACTTTAATGAGATAACAGTAATTCATTACATAAACAATAGAGAAACTGACAAGAACAATACACGATAAACATAAGGTCACAAACAACAGTTTGTTGTATTCACTGCACTAATATTGGAAAGAAAAATAAATTTCCAATTATTCTCTCTATAATCGTCTAGTTTAATATTTCTTAAACTCACTACTTACTGAGGAGGTGACTAGCTGTGAAAACTAGAAGAATAGCTCGATATGTCGACTACATTACAAACTGTAAAGTCATTCTGAAGTATTCGAGTATATCACACCTGCATAATTTGATATTGACAAGATATATGATTTACACACGTATATGGTTAGGGACAGCAGTAAAAAAATATGTACTTATATTTCATTATTATTCTCAGAGTAGAATTATATTTTGAAATGATACGGAGTGTTTCCAGGATTCTAAATGTGGTATGTTTTATTAACGCGCTTAATTGAATGATTTGCTATAAACAGTGTTCAAAATCTTTTGGCTTAATAATAGAACCTAATGCAAAGACGCCTGATAAACAATAGCACATGTTCATCAGTGTTTCACGCTCATATTTTTTAATGTGACGTATACCTTTATGTGACTTTTATCAATTCAAGAAAATAAGTCAACAAGAAGATAAATCTTTAAAGTTTAGTTATTCCGATATCATCAATAATAGATCATGAACAGAAATGGGCTCAATACAATGTTTTAAGGATTCTACAAATTAGATTGGGTGGAATTACATTGTCTACTCAACTTCATATATCGTTGCGAGTTACGATTAAGTAAAATAATACTCTAATAGTTGATGACAAACTCCTTTCTTCATTAATCTGTAAAGCATTTCTTATGTCATACCTTAAAACTATTTTTTTAAAATTCAACAACACAACCTGAACATTTTTCTCACATGCTTAGTTTTCATAAATCGAATGAACAAGCTCTAACTGGTGATGAACAATTAAGTGTTTCTTTCGAAAGTAGAAACAAAACGCTGATAAAAGTTTTTCTCGCTCAGATACTGTGGCTAAACATCAGAATCATAAAATTTGCTCCTGTTGTCTTTAAGCTCTTTTATCCCGTAAACAGCGTTATATTTTCATATCTTTTGCCAATAGATAGTTTGAATAGTGAGCGTTAAAATACAGCACATCAAAAGACCAATGAGAAATTTACTAAATACTGCTTATCGCAGAAACTCGATGGAGTTATCAAAAACATCCAACAAACAAAATATTATACATTTTAGTAAAGATAATTGTTACAAATTCTGGATTTTCAGAGTTGATAATAATTTCGTATAATTTAAAATCACTTGAATACTTTGTTCCAGTACTATGTCTGATAATTTAGTACTTCAGTCATTATGACTCTTCAAAAACTAGTTCCACTACTAAAGAGTCAAAGTTTTTAACGGTATGAACTAAGATATAATATTTTTCAAAAATTGACAGTGTTTTTTTCAATAGATCCCAGTTGAACAGACTCACTTTTTTTGTACCATGAGACTTGAAATTCGATCATTAGATGATCTGTAGATAGATAAATAATTTGCTCCGTATCAACCCTTGGAACGAAGTTAAAATTGTTTGTTATTCAATGTGATGCTATTATGTTTTTAAAAAAAACACGAAGTAACAATATGCCTGGAACAAACTGGAGTACGGCGGATGGGATGAGCGTCTGTATTCGCGTTCTTTCTGGTTTTCAAGTAATATCAGATTTTGAACGAATGTATTCTGTGGATCTAGATTCAGATCCTCAAAATACTTTTTCGTTCCAACTCTGAATATTGAAAACCCTTTTTATCACGTTCGTATGCATACTTTCCAAAATTTCTATTCTGATTCGAAACAGTTTTTTAGGTCACTATTCACAATGCTTTTTTAGCACATGTTTAAAATTTGAGTTGTAGTGTTTATTAGTGTCGTCGTATCTTCATCACAGATCTTGCGTTCTAGATGTATACATTTCATTTATTACCTTTTGATTCAGCACAATTAAATGTGCCGTCTAATTGTTCCAAAATAAGTATTGAAAATTGTTACATAAATGAATTAAAAGCAAAAATTAGTGAATTAGTTAATATTTCGCCGGATTTATTTGGTAAAAATAGCAATTATCTTTCATGATTCAACTATCTAATCTGATATTGTAAATTTTTGTTTAGATGTTTATTGTCAAGGATTACAAATGTCAGATGAAAAATCTCTTCAAGATTTTGATATTGATCAAGAAGAAACGTTGTTATTGATCAGTCGAAATAAATTAGCAAAAAATGATAATCAAAATACGGCAGTGGGTAATTAAATGATATATTTGAATTTTTCTTTAAAATATTTTCAATTTCTTTTGTTTAGGTGATCCAACAAAAGGTGAATTGAATCAAAGCGCTAAAACAATTGAAAAATCGTCAATAAATGGTCTTGAATTTCATCGAGTAAGAATGAAAACATTCATTATTCTCTTCATTATTTATCATGAAAATAATTAGTCTGTATTTTTAGCTCTATTGGCTAATGAAAACACCTGAATTCTGGAATAAAATTGTACAGGCCGTACCAGAGATTTTAAATGATTCATCAGCATTAGGTATTATTACGCATACTTTTT